TGTGTGTGTGTGTGTGTGTGTGTGTGTGTGTGTGTGTGTGTAATGATGTGTTGCTCAGTTCAGGCCATCAAACAGTCACTGCTCACTGTTTGGGTGGGACAAAAAGAGAGCACAGTAAGCATGAGTAAAAGCAGCGTCATCTGCCAGGCAAACCCTGGTGGACTAGTCTGGGGGTTGCTGAGGGCAGGACTTGGCCTCTGAAACTGAAAGATTAGGAGGAAGAGGAGGCGTGGCCTGTCCCTTGCAGTCAGAAAAGCACGTGGCCGTGCCTGTTTGCACGAGGGAGCAGCAACAAAGACCAGCCAGTCTGGATCACTAGACATCTGCTACGCACACATGTGCACGCCTCTCACTTTTTTTTTCTTCCACATGCACGCTCGCATGCAGGGGTGGGTGGTTTGCACTTTGATCTCGACGTGCAGGCGCGCGAGTCATTCACAAGAAGTGTGTCATGTGTCAGCTGGAATGGCCCAAAACCCACACAGAACAGCTTGGAAACTTAAAAACATCAACCTTGTTTGGTTTGATTTGATCAAAATGTCATGTTGCATGAGAACGCTGCTCCTCCCTGCAGGTTTAACCCCCGGGACCTTTCTACAAGAACCACATGTGAACACATACTGCACACAAGATAGATTGTTTTTTTACTCTCTGTATTTCTCACAGTTTTTCAAAGACATAAATGCATTATTTCATGCTTTTATCAAAGCGTTTCTCTGTACTCAGCAACAGACTGGGAGATGTGAGGACAAACAGAGCTGCTTGTGATCAGCAGAGCAGAGCTTNTTTTAAACTCATTATGTTTGTAAATATTTATCAAACATTATTTTAAAACATAAATCTGATTTGGAAAGTTTAAAGAGTTTCTAACTCTGAAGAGCAGAAACAGAGTAAAACTCTAATTTCCCACATTCTGATGGACCCTGAAGTAAACATCAGCTGATTGGACGATGGAAACTCAAACTGTCCAATCAGAGGACAGATGGTTCTCAGACTTCAGGGGTTTATTTTCTTTATTTAATAAACAGTTCAGTGTTTTTATTGGACTTCCAGGACCTGCTGGAACAAATCTGCTCTCTGATTGGATGGTTTGAATTCTCATCGTCCAATCGTCTGTTTAGATTTTAAAACAATTTAACCTGCAGTTTTTACATTTCTGAATTGACAGAAAAGGAACTTTTAGTTTTTTTTTTCCTGTAACTTTAACAGTTTAAATTCAGTAAATTTATATTTTTAAGCAGTTTAAAAACAAACGTTTGTCTTTCTTTCGATAATTTAAACGAGTTTTCCTCCATGTTTCAGTTTGTTGATGTTTTTGTGTTGATTTGAACTGATGGTGCCTTTTTCCTGACGATGGTGCTCAAACAGAATTTCACCGTTCGGTGAGTCCTGAGTGAAACTCAAACTGAACAGAACCGATGTTTGGACCGGGCCGGGCCGGGCCGGGCGGAGCAGAACCAAACGTCTGTAGATAAACACAAATAAATCTGTTTTTATTGAGCCGTGACTTTTACTGTTTGTTTGTTCTGTAAATAAATCTGCAGATTATTTTTACAAACAAACATCCTGTTTGGGTTTACAGATTTATTTATTTATGACCGTTTTGTTGATTTTGTTTGTTTGTTTTTGTTTTTTTTTCTGAAAATTTAGACCTGTTTAGCTTTTAATTCATCTGGATTCAAACTGAAACTTTGTCAGATTTTTAAAATAAAAACATAAAAATCTTTCTTGTTCAAGTGTTTTTTGTGTTGAAAAATACTTTTAAATATCTGTTTTTAAAATTTACTAAATTAGCTGCATAATCATTTAATTAAAT